CTCTCCCACTAAAAAAGGAAAGTGGTTAGGAATAACTCTGGCCATTCTTGTGTATTTTGGATCTGGCTACCGGGAAGACTAATCTGTTGTTTTATGAACAGGTATTTGATACCCTGAGGACGACAATGTTCATACTAAAAAAGGAAAGTGGTTAGGAATAACTCTGGTCGTTCTTGTGTATTTTGGATCTGGCTACCGGGAAGACTAATCTGTTGTTTTATGAACAGGTATTTGATACCCTGAGGACGACAATGTTCATACTAGGAATGATGTCTGTGTTCATAGGCATTTCTTTGTTGGCACCTGATGACTCTAGAGGTATTTGATAATGAATTTTTGTTTACTCTAGATGTAAAGCCCATCATGTTAGGAGCTTACTTTGATTTATTTGTTAATTTTTTCAGGCAGTGAGGTTAAGGATAGTTCATCTGTTGATATGTCTTCAAGCATTACAACAGAATCTGACAGGTAAGAATCCTTTCTTGGCGGTGATCAAATAACCAATGGTGTCCTTAATTGCTTTATAACAAAGGATACCTCAGGATATATTGGCATGCAAACAAAATAACTTTCTTTTCTATGGTTGTCAAATTAACCATGTGATTTATCGCTATCTATATGGATGCAACATGCAACTATGTTCTCTAATAGCTCTGTACTATAGAATGCATACTGAATTTTTTTTTTTTTTTCCTTTCACTTTTTATTTCAGCAGTTGTTGAAAAACTTATTTCCGTTTGTTGTAGGTTGATCTTGCCATCTGAAGGTGTGCAAAACAAAGAAACAAAATCATTGATGCAAGGAATGAGCATGAAGATTAGAGATATACTAAGCAGGGCAAAGGTAGTGTAATCAGATTCCTGGACTTGTTTTATAATGAGAATGTAAATTTGATTTAATAGTAAGAATATGGCTTCAATTCGATTGCAGACTGCTTGTTCGCTGGGTCTGGGAGAGGATTCAATAAATGCATCTGCCGTTCTGGTGATGCCTATGATGTCCTCAAAGATAACAGGCTTCAGAGGTAGTGGGTTTGATCGCTCAAAGTTTTTGCCCGTAAGAAATTCTGGTTGGAATGAAATTGCAATGGATGGAGATGATGATGAAAGACTGCTGGAAGCTGAGCCGATACTGCCTCAGAGAATTTGATAGGGACTGCAATGAATATAGTTGGTTAGGATTTTATTGTTTTGTATCACATTCGTTGAGCACCCTTGCTCATCAAAGTCAGCAGCACATACCACGCCGATGTATATTCTTTGCTCACTTAGTTGAAAGGAAAACAAACACAAATGTGTGGACACTGTAACCTTAGAGAAAAGAGGTGAAAATATTAGGCAATATTCAGTTGTTTGGTGTTCTTAACAAAGGAAATTTTGAATGCATTCAATCACATCCTTGCTCCTTCCTTAGACATGGTGATAAGACGAAGGTAATTTTTGCAGGACGAAAACTAACTTGTGCAAAAGCTGGAGTTCAAAGTCGAGCTTGTCCTAGCAATCGAACCTACTACTGTCTTTTGAAAAGGAAAGGGATGAAGTTAATTACTAGTAATAAGTACTATTCTTTTATTTATATATTTATAATAATATATAAAGTATTATTAATTCCCAACCTATAAAAAAAAAACCTTTTTGTTGTTTTACGTAGATACTCGTGGACTCCACTCCTTACTTCAGGTAATTTCGTGCTTCACCTCCAGTCCAACTAACAGTCTAGTGTCTACCATTCCATTTCCATCTTGGTGAAGTCTGGAAACAACTAATAGCTTCTATCTGTCCTTTTTTTTTTTTCTATTATAATTATTGGATATGGAAATGGCATCCAGCAGGTTCATAGAATTCAAAGTCATTTCCTGCAAGGATCTGAAATCATTCAACTTCTTCCAAAAACTACTAGTTTATGCCCTTGTGTACCTTGCCGGCGATGATTCCAACCAGAAATTGGATGATCAGAAGATGCAGCAACAGAGGACTCCCACCGACAAGGAAGGGGACGGCAATCCTGAATGGAATCATGAGATGCGTTTCGATCTCGGTTTACTTGAGGATTGTGACCATCCTCTCTTCATCCATTTTGATCTTAGGCACGAAGGAATCATGTTTGGGGACAAAACTATTGGCCAAGTTCTTGTTCCCATGACGGATCTCATCCAAGACTCTAATGCTGGAGTAGTTCGATTCGTCAGCTACGAGGTCCGGACAACAGACGGAAAGCCCAATGGAGTTTTGCATTTCTCTTACAAGGTCAGTGGTATTAGCATGGCCACTGATTCAGCCCACCCTCAAATCACGGGATTTCCAGTTCGTCACCATCATCAGGATCAGATTCAATCTTCCTCCTCCTCCTCCTCTGAAGTTGAGAGCGGATCGCCCAAAATTCAATATCCATCGCTAGGATTAGAGTATAATACTAGCCAAAAATCTCCTCCTTCGCCTCAGTATCCCATTCCCTTCCAAGAGAACTATTATTTCCAGCCGGATGTCTATTCTCATACTCCACCTCCTCTGCCACCACAGCCGCCGGCATGGTGGGCACACGGAGCTTGTTATCCTAATCATCCTCCTCCTCCTCCTCCACCACATGGGTACCAACACCGTCCTTGGGGGCCCCATGGGTATAGTTACGGAACGCCTGGGTATGGGCCTGCTGCTGGACACATGGAGAATTGGCCCAATCGTTGGCAAGGTCATCCATCTTCATCTTCGTGGAATGCAAAGTGAGTTGAAGTTTGGATTGTTTTGTTAGCATATGCCTCAATTGTTCGATTAAAACCTATTTCAGTTAGTTTGCATTGTTGTTGGTTTTTTATTTAACAAGATAATATAGTAAGAGTTCCGGCATTCCCCAACGCTATCTTGTGTAAAATGGTCGTGTGGATTATGCTAAATGATTATGTACTGGGGACTTATAATTCCAAGTTGAGGACTGCTATGTGGCCAGTTTACATAAGAGACTGTTAAAGAATGCGGGGACTTATAATTTGTTTGCTGTTTAAAAAATATTTTTTTGAAATAGAGTGAGCGATGAACTGAAGATTATGAATAATAGTAGATCCGCAAAAGGCATCAAACAATGCTAGCTAGCTAGCATAGTTTTATGATTTCCAAAAAGCCAACGCATTCACCAGAAAGAAAGAAGAGAAAAAGGGAACCAACGATACCTCACAAAAATTCACATGTTAATGTATTCACTTCAAGTTTCAGCCTTATAGTATCTTCCATATATATGGGCAGTAGGTTGATTGAAGATGTTTTGATCAATCTCCCTGATACTGAAGCAAATTGTATCCGATTCTGTGCTCTTACGTGCTCATAAAACATTTTGATAAACTCCTCATGAGCCAGTCTGTTTCCCCGATCATTTTCATCATCTTCTGATGAATAATTGGGCGCCCAGACAGAAAAATAGTGAAAGAAGAGTGCTGCACTGCACTTCTCCTCCCCCTGTTTCCAAACCGCAGCTTCATGCTCTTGATGATCTTCTTCAGCTTCTTCTATATATGATGTCAGGAGGATTAATTAATTGATGCACAGGAAGTAATGGTGTTTTGGCACGTGGAAAAATTAAAACAGGGCTATTGGGCCATAATTGCTGCAAGAGAACTCGTAGAACTCCTGCAGTATGCCACCACGTGCTAGCTACAATTGCTTGGAGGATGGGTGATGAAATTGGCAAAGGCGATTCCCCTAAGGAGGTTGCCTCTCTTGGTCATCAAATTCAAGTCCACGATCAACTTCCTCTTGGATGTGAAGATCGTTTCCTTTATCATGAAGAATGTGATCCTCAAAATTAGCATTCCATAGGCTCTTGGCTATAACCGTTGTATGATTGTGAACCTCTATGAAGGGCGTTTAATTTCTTCTTTCTGTGAGGTTTGAGATAGACCTCGCAGCAGAAGGGGAGAAAACCCAGTGAGAGAAATAGGGAATTAAGGAGAGAGCTTGGTGGATATTTATAATAGCATTTGATTCATCATTCATGTTATTTGATTATTGAATCAAAAGAGAAGTGGAAAGCAAGAGGTAGCTAGCCTAGCTAGCTGTACTGTACATATAGATTAACTAAAAAGTTAATTTTATTTAATAAATAAAAAACCATGTACCAATATATATATATATATTCAAATGGACTCAACAACCGCTCCTCCCCGTGTTTCCCCATTAGTTTAGTAGAAAGAATGATTAGAATGTGTTGTAATATATATATATATATATATATATATGATTATGAAATTAGTAGTTGATGTGTTGAGGTCAAAGACAGCTAACAACAGGTGAGGAGAGGTGTTTGATGATATGGGCAGAGAGGACTCTTAGTGGTAGGAAGGAAGGAGGCAGAGTCATCAGGAGCAAGCAAGCAAGCAAGCAAGCAAAAAATTGATTTTCTTCCAAAATTCAAAGCTTGGCTCTAACAGCCTTTTAAGTTTGTAAAACAAGTACTCCACCAAACAACCCAATTACATTTTGTCCAGATAATCCATGAAAGATCCGTAGTACGTACTAAGCACCCAGTGGACGCACACATGTTTTTGCAAATTTGATTTTCCATTTTGGATTTTTCCTTCTTTTTTTTTTTCCAATTATTTTAAGGCTCGTGAAAATTAAGAAAGCAAATAACCCTCCTCTTTTGTGTATGTATCACTACAAATAATAATATCTGAACAAATTAGGTGGTTTAATTTACTACCATAATGAAATTAAAAAACATTATGAAAAAGAAAGACAGAACACACGGACAAAGTAAAGCATTATCTATTTTATTTTTTTTAAAGCATGTGTTAATCTTTTAAGGAATTTAATTCCATCTTCCATCTGTTTTTACATGTAGTTGTTAAAAATGAAAAATAATAAAATATATATTGTAAAAAAGAATAATGTGATGAATAACATATTTTATGACCTTAGGGGTTAAGTTTTGAAGCTCAGAAGGAAAGAATCAATCGTGATTTGTAATCATTGCAGATTTCTTTTTTTCGACTGCACGCATAGAAGAAGGCAATACTAGCTAATACTACAATGTGAAGACAACCCCATTAAGCAAACTTAAATTTAAAATGTTTATGAATAATATAAACAGAGAAACAGTTGAGGCTTTTTTCCTTGAAAGAAAGACCAAATTGGTGCCAATAATTGAGCCTATATAAACCAAGCAGGTAAGCCCTCTTTTCCTTTTTGGTTTATCTGTGAAAAAATCATATATATTTAAACTAAAACGAAAGCCAGCACTCCCGCTCCAAACCTGTATTATGGGACCACATGTCCTTGGCATTTCCACTTTCACTTTTACTTTCACTTTCACTTTCACAGCCTTTCCCTTTTTCCTTTTTCTTAGCCTCCACTCTTTCTCAGAAGATCAAAATTCTTAATACAAAATTGTTATGGTGCGTTAAATATATATATTATATACACCTGATCCCCTAGCCTCCAGCCTCATGTTTTTCGCTCATGTCTTTACTTGCAGCTCATCCCCTTATATTAGCAAATTCACACTTATTTCTCTCTGCCTCCATTTCCAAATATATCTAGCTAGCCTAGAAAATTTCCTAAAATGAAGAGCAAGGCAGCAGCCGGGTTCCTGAAATACGTACTGACAGTGCTAAGCACAATGGCGAAGACTAAAACTCGTGCTCTTAAAAGCAAAACAAGAGCCCTCAAGACTCGCTTGGTCATTTTCTCCCTGCTTCATAGCCAGAAGATTCTGATGACCTCCATATCTCAGAAGTTTAATGCTCTAATGGGGCAGAAGAATGACAAAAGTAGTCATCACGATCAGGAAGATGATCATGATGATGATGCTGTTGTTGACAAAGGCAAGTCTATTGTGCTCTATAATTGCAATACCAATAATACCATGCCTTTGCTGCCGCCGCAGCTGCTGGTGGTAGATGATGAAGAACAGGAGGCAGAGAGGTTTTCGGGCCTAACTCACTCCAAGTTTGATCATGAGTCAAATGCAGGGGGATCACATAATGAAAAAGAAGAATTCGAGGATGCGGCTGGAGGATCTGTCATCGATTTGGTTAAGCTCTCAAAGGAAGATAAAGGTGAAGAGTTCAGGCTAGAAGACGACATAGACAGAGTTGCGGACCTGTTCATAGAGAGGTTCCATCGTCAGATGTGGATGCAGAAACAGCTATCCTTAAAGAGACATCAGGGCACTGGAGGAGAAGAGCATCTATTAAACATTAATTAGACATCTAGGCTAGCGCTGCATCCATCATAATTCACATATATCCTCTTAATTACGTACTCTATTTACTTTTCTTATTAAGTAATTCCCTTCCAAAGCTTTTTAATTAATTTATTGCTGTAGTACCTTCTAATTCTGTAATTTGTATATCCATCGGAAGTTACTCAGCTATCCTAAACATACCTTCTATAATATCGCAATGATTAACTAGCTGCCTAAGTTACTCAGCTATCGTTGTCGGTGCTAACATACTACAGTAAAAAGAACTATTGGATTTAAAAGCTCATTGATATAGCAATTTTGTTTGATATTTAATGGTAAATAATTACTATTATTAAAAATAGGGTTTGTCAAATATATATTATTAAAAGATGTAATAAATGTATTTTTGTAATTAATTTATATAAAAAATTATAAATTTTGATATTTATTTTAATATCATTAGAATGTGGGTGATTTTCATCAATTAATTTAAAATCAACACTTACCTTTCTATGTAAATTAATTGCAAAAAAATACATTAATTACCTTTCATAGGATATAAATTAAAAAAAATCTTTTTTAATAATTCAAATACTTTTATTCATTAAATTAAATGAAATTATTAATGATTAATTTTAAATTGTTATAGTGAACGATCATTTGCATTATGTACATTAAATTTTTAAGTAATAATTAGGATATTTATAACTAAATATACAAACAAGGAAACACTATTTTTTTTTTTATTATGTATTTAATGGTCTAAAATGCGTGCTAAATTTCTATTGTTGATCCTTAGATCTAGTATTAGGCTTAATATTTAAGAAAATATGCATTTTTTTAGAGAAAATTTGTTGTTACAAATAAAACACCTACCCAATTAATCAGAGATACCCATGCACATATACCGTGTATATCCAACCCCAATGTTTATCCCCTAGTTCCTCTGTTTTTGAAAAAAGCATTTGAGCGAGGGCTAGTGGGCCATAGCCAAAAATTTGCAATTGGACCAGAAACGGCGTTGGGCCCAAAGAGCTGACAAAGAGTATGTATGGTATGGATATCGAATTCCAGAAGGACACGTGTACGTAGCTTAGAATTCAACCGCGAAAGCCAACTAGCAAACACGGCAAAATCAAAAGGGGCGCATCGCATCCGTATTTTGATTGCGTCTTTGTTTTGATTAAATCAGTTAAGGAAGCGGCCAAAGTTATTTCTTCTCCAACTCCCACCATCTGCCATCCGCCGGAAGATAATCGTCGCCGCCGATCCCTTGAGGTTAGCCATTACCAGATTTTCAATCTTTGATTTCTTGATGTCTATTTATTTTATTGATCCAATTCAATTATCTCATCTTCTGCCCCCTAAAAAAAAAAATTAAATTCATGTGTATCCTAATAGGCATCGCATCATTTTGATTAGAGCTTTGATTGTTCATCCTTGATCAATCGATTGATTGATCGAAGATATATGGGAGAAAGAATTTCATTTTTACAGACTCGGTATTGGTGATTGATTTTCACTTTTGTCAATTTTTCTAATTGTAATATTATTGAGAGATCTAACATCCATCAATTCAACATCTATATATATATATAATATGGATTGATAATGCTTTTCATTCAGTTTTATAATTTAGGTTCTACTCTTGCAGCTAGCAGCAGCTGAGTAATTCATTTTTTTTGGCGAGTTTAGCAGCATCTTAGTAATATATTACCAATATCCATATACATAGTCGGCATCATGAGAAATGGAATTCATAGTCAAAGAGTTGGTGAATGTTCTAGCTCAACTTCCTGGAGCAGTCAACAGGATACTGAGGATGACCGGATGATTGCCACTGTATTGTCAGAAGAGTATGCCAAGTTAGATGGTGCAGTTGCTAGACGCCTTTCTAACCTTGCACCTATTCCTGTGAGCCCCCTTACTTTTTCTTCCACTTATGGAATCAATCTCTGTTCCTCTTCATTATCTAGCCAGTTTTTATTTTCTTCATTGTACCAGAATTATTAGGACTGAGTATGATAAATTTATTCTTTCTCTTCATTATTATTATTTTTTTATCAATACCTTCTCTACTCATGGACTCTGATGACCTGTGTTTTTAAATAGATAGCTATCAATTTTTTTATTTTTTTTTCTTATTAAAGAGTTTTCTGATTTCTTTTGTTGTAACTTTTTGAAAATTTAGCATGTCCCACGCATAAATTCCTATATCCCCAACTTAAGTGATGCAAGTTTGGATCACCAGCGCCTTCTCCAAAGGTATGTCATTGCATACTTACCTGTTGGAAAATATATTGTCATTACATCTTGCAGGCAGCATGTTTACTCTGGTTTGAAGACTTTCATCTTGATGAATTTGCAAATATATATATATATTGAAAAAACTGTAAGATTAAGCTATTCAACTAATTCTTTGCATGCAGCGTGTTGAGTTATTTATAGAAAATTACAATAAGAATATAAGAGAAAAATGTACCCTTGTTAAAAGTCAAGGTCCTTGTATTTCTTTTTTCTAGTTTGAGTGACACTAGGTTTGCAGAAATTTCACCTTCAAAATCACCCCCCATCTAATGATCATCTTATGCATGCGTACAGGGGCCCACCCTTTAGGATGCCTGGATAGTGAATTATATGATCCTTTCCATTCTCTTCAAATCCTGCCACTGGATAACTGAAAACATGACACTGATATCTTTTTTCTTCCACTAGCGTTTGGCTGTAAACTTGTAGTGGACATTGCTGATGTTATAGTTCTAACATGCACTTGTTCTATAACCTGTATTCTTTTCCATATAGATGTTGGAGTCCCCTACGATATGGCAATATAAACTATCAATATGATCCAATTTCTAAATTGTAACTTTTTCTGAAGTGTGTATGCACTAATCATTGTCTTCAAATCCTGCTGCTGGATAAGTGAACAAGTGGCACTAAGATTTATCTTCGTCCACTAATGTACAGTTGTAATGCACGTTGTGGACATGATGATTCTAAGATGCACTCATTTCATAATCTATTGGTTTCTTTTTCATATAGATGCTCGAGTCTCCTAAGATTATGCTAGTGCAAACTATCAATATGATCTGAAATCTAAAGTGAACTTTTTCAGAAGTGTGTACACACTGATTGTCCCAGCCAGATTACTTATCTAGTATTACAGATGTGTTCTTGAAGCGTGAGATTTTATGCCTTGTGGCAGATACCAAGGAAAGTGCTAAATGATTTTACACAAGACTTTAGGTGTAGAGAGTGATTTTCACCTCTTAAGTTAGTAAAACTCTATTTATCTCATATGAGATTGTGTTTTCTTGTGCACTCATATGTACATCATTTTTGTGTTTGGCAAGCATACAATGGATTGAAGTCAGATAACTTGTCTCTTTAACAACTTATTCTGCTCAAGTTTTCTAATTCGAAAACTAGACAGCATGAATTTTAATACTTAAGGCTAATGAATTGCACTTTTCTTCAAGTATATAATCAAGGTATCATCCTAATGTTAAAAAAAAATAAAAAAAGGGAAAATCAAGGTATCCTCCTTGTAACAGTTTGTTCATATGAATGAAATCAGATCTTTTTATCTGCACTGTTGAACTGCCTGTATGATTAAGCTTTTTCTTCTTGGAGAGATTGGGTGTAATTTCTCTTTGCATTTCTTGTTGGATAAAGGTATTAAGTGACATTTGCATGCTTCATTCTTTGATTGTATTTGTTGCAAACTGGGGGTTGGATATTCTTTGTAAAGATTAGTCTGATACTGTATACATTTTAGAACTTTATCCTTTGATTTATTTTGTTACAGCAGCACCCTGAACTTGGAGCTGCTTGGTTCACTGTGGTTTAGGCAATAAAATTTTACATTTTACCTTAAAATGAAATTTGCATGGTTCTCAGGCTAAATGCTTATGGTTTGTACGAAGTGAAGGTCTCAGGTGATGGAAATTGCCAGGTAAATTTGATCTCTTTCGCATCTGTCTCATTTTATCTGCTAATATATTGCTAGACATCAAACTCACAGACCTTATTTTGTAGTTCCGTGCACTATCAGACCAGATGTTCAAGTCTCCAGAGTATCACAAACATGTACGGAAAGAGATTGTCAAACAGGTCAGAGTCTTTCTAACAGTAAAAATTGTGCATGGTGGTAAATATGCTTAGAAATCTGGAATGCAATTGAATTGGAGGCTCTTGTTTCTAAACATTGTGGTAATGATGCTAACTGGCTGTATGAGTAAAATTTAACCATGCATACTTAGCAACAGTAAGGAGATATGTGCATATCTCAATTGAGGATATATAGATTATAAAACTTACTAACAAAAAATTTTGGACAAGGATAATACCAAAAGTCACATAGAACATTCCACCAGTAAACATGATTTCTGCCATCTTTGGGATCCAGCATCATGATACCACTCTTCCTTCAAACTGAAGGATGCTTGATAAATGATATGATATCTCTATCACATTCAAGGTCTTGATGCCTTCCTGTCCCTGCAACTGTCTCCACCTGTGGCATCATGATAACCTCTTCGGCAACTTGCATGCTCTCCCATATTTTTGCAACACATCTCTCCCTAGACCACACGTACCAAGCCCATAATCACCATTGTGTGTTTATCATCAATACTTTTTTTCTTAAAAAAAAAAAACGAAAAAAGGTAAAATGTGAATTTTATTACCCAAAATAACTATCATTATGAGGCAGCACTGTGAATCAAGGCTGCTACAATTCCAAAACTTGAAAAAACCAGAAAACTAAGTATCCTTCACTGATTCCTACAAAGTGTCTGGTGGCCAGCTAGATGCAATGCTAACTGGCATAGGAGAACTGAATTCCAAGTCTGAAAGGTTTTTGTACAGATCTTGTTGGTAATAGATGTTATGAGAACTGAAATCCAAGTCTGAAAGATTCCTAATACTGCTCCTAAATCTTCTAGACACAAGGATTGTGTTTTAAGTTTTACCTTAATTTGAGAATTGAAGCTGATATGCAGTTTTCAGAACATAATAATGGATGTTTAGTTCTTTTGCTTTTCACTTTCTTATTTTGTATCACCTTTCCTCATTCCAGCTCAAAGACCACCGTTCCTTGTATGAAGGATATGTCCCTATGAAGTACAAGCGATATTACAAGAAAATGGCCAAGTACATTGCTTCTTTCATGGATCCTTGTATATATTCACAGCAACAAATGTTTCCTTCCATTAATGCATTTACCTTGAAGTTGTAAGGGATTTTATATTTAATATCTAATATTTAATTTACTGCATCACACAGATCTGGTGAGTGGGGGGACCATGTTACCTTACAAGCAGCCGCTGACAAGGTTTGTTATTCTTTTCACAAATAGTTATGAGATGCATGTTGTCGTCATATTTTATATGGCTGATGCATGAAAATGATTGTATGATGTTTAAATGCTGTCCTTTGATTATGTAGCTATTATTTTCCATTCTGTGCTTCATATGAGATTTGAGTAAATGAAATTGAGGATGACCTCGGCATTTTTTCTTTCAAAGAGGATAAGCAAACTGTGTATCTTGCCAGTTTCTGCTGATTTTTTTCATCCTTTTTTTTTTTATTAGTTCCAGCTTTTGCTGACGGTTTTGTATATTGATGGATGCTTCTAGATGTCTGTGATTACCCTAAAAAAATGAAAACAAAAAGGAAAAATTTGCTTTATATATGTAACTGTGCTGACAAATACCATGCTACTTGCTTCTTTGCAGTTTGCAGCAAAGATATGCCTTTTGACATCATTCAGGGATACTTGTTTTATTGAAATTATGCCACAGTACCAGGCTCCTAAACGTGGTAAGGGTGGCAAAAAAGTTATTTTATTTTTACTTTTTCTATTGCTGAAATTTGTTAACGCTTAAAACTCTTTCTGCCTTGGACCCAAGGTCTGGACCTGTGTTATTTATTTGCTTTTTCAGTTGGCTTTACGAGCATAATCTTATGGTTATTTTCTTCCATCTCTTGCTGCCTCTCTAAATAATGCAGAGTTTTGGTTGAGTTTTTGGTCTGAGGTACACTATAACTCGCTATACGAAATGCAATGTTTGTTTTATTGTCACAAAAAGATTTGATGTTTTCAACGTTGAAGCTAGGAATAAAATTTTGCTTCATTAATTTGATCTTCTTTCGAGCAGCTGCCCCTATTCAGAAGCCAAAGAAGAAGCATTGGTTATTTTAGGAGGAGCGGCAAATTTGATGAGAGGCATTAGCTTGTCACAGAACTCATAATAATGAAAATTTAGGAGTTAGTACCGTGTACGTTATTCTTACATTTTTCATAGATTGCGTTACAGTCTGTCGTTTATATTTGGTGCTTACTTAGACACACGTTAATTGTTTATTCTTTTGTAAGTTGGATTTTGTTTTTTCAATTTAGCGCAACTGATAACTCCTATAGCTTCATATCATCTGGGTATTTGCTGGATCCTGACTCTCACCAAAATACCTTCATGTTAGCTTTACCTCGAGAAACCAGCCATGAGAATTTTTTGAAACATTTCGAGGGAAAAAAAAAAATTGGTTTAGCTCAAACTCAACTAAAATTACAAATTTCATCATCCAAAATACATTTACGGATTGTCAAAAAGAATAGCTTTTCTGAATAGATCTTCAGAGAAGCAATTAACTCTGATCTAGCCCGGTGAGGCAGCATCACCACACGATCTTCAATCAATCCTTTTTGGTGCAGCTTCCGATCTTTGACCTAACATAACACAAGTAGGTTAAAAATTCATAAACGCTCAAATTCCAGAAGGTAATAGGGGCAAAACAATGTATATGCCAGCTAGATGACATACCTAATTTCAGAATATGCTTACTCATCAAATTTTATCTTCTTTGGAGCAGGTTGGATGCTACCCAACTGCAAAATGTATGACTTGTGAGCATGTGGCCAGATGCTTAAAGTACTAGTGGGTTGCACGATTGAGTATGGCATAAATGCTAGAAATTTATTGTTTGCGATTCTCACAATTTCTGGACATTCGTAATCAATGCCAGTATCTTTGATGAGCTAAATTTATATACATATTAATGTGAAATTTTTATTTTGATGCTATTAATATTTGGATGAATTTTATGAGATTTTACATGGTTTTCATTTTTTGTGCAGAAAAAGACTTAAATGCATAATAATTGGAGTTTTTGGAATTAATTGAACATTTTTTGAAAGTTGAGGGACTGAATTGCAAGAAGAAGCACCTCTTTGGGACCTAAATGAATGAATCTTGAGTTTTGGGATCTAAGTGCTCATTGTACAAAATCTGGAGGACAGATCTGTAATTTTACCATTGTTAAATTGCAAACGGAGGCTAGAAACTCGGCGCGAGTGTAGTGTCGACACATAATATGGGTGTCGACACCATGCGTTAATCGCCAAGAATCACTGTTTTTTATTTTGTGTTGACACATAATTCGAGGTATCAGTACTATATATTCAGCGTCCAACATTCAACTTTTCTATTCTGTTTCAAATCTCACTTCTATTCCAATTAAAGTTTCTAAAACTTTATAAATATCTATCCAAATTCAAAATTAAGGAGCTAGTGGAGGCTAGTAGCAGCCTTCTTTTGAACATTTTTAGAGATCAAGATAGAGGATTAATCAACAATAGAAGGTGAAGGAGTTCAAATTTCATAAATTGGGTTTTGTTTTTCCTTAAATTATTTTCATCTATTGTTTGATATTTGAATATTCATAATTATAATTTCATATTTTATTATTTTTATTATAAACTAATTTATTTTATTAAGGTTACGATATAACCTAATCAATTCAATATAGATTTTGTGATTTTATAATTTTAATTAAAGTTATTTACATGAAGAGTTTATATTATTGAACTTAATGCATTGGAAGCCTGATCACCTTTCAATTGATTTAATGACTTATGCATGAACTTGAGAAAAATTACGTAAATTAGATTAATAATAATATAAATCGTGTGTTAGACTATGAGACCAAAAGGTAATTAGCTCACACGTGATAGTGGAGGAAGAGAAGAGTTAGGAGCTCCCCCTTCTTAAATTAGAGATTTTCATAAGATTTAATGCTCATTAGTTTGTTTAAAATTATATAGAGATATGATTAATTTAACAAACAAGTGAAGGATTAATTTGACTTGAGAAAACTAGTTAATTAATTTAGAAAAATCCATCATCACATGCAATAACACTCAACAAATTAGCATATTAATTCAGAATTTATATTGATTGATTATGATGAAATCAATACCTTAGTACCTCATATCTTGGTTAGGTTTAATTTAATTGTTATTTTTCTTTTATTATTATTATTTTTAGTTAAACTTTATTCCTTTTTCATGGTTCAAATAAATTTAGATTAATTATTTTAGTACTTAATTAATCACAATTCTCATAGGTTTGACACTTTATTTATCATTATATTACTTGGAACGACTAGTACATTTGTTAAGGTGATTTTAGTGCATCAAGCCTCTATCCTCTTTTGGCGCTTCTTATCTCGTTTTAAGATACTCTCAACCAATTTCTTGTGCTCTTCCAATGTTCTCTCCTTAATAGCAAAGACGGAATTACAATTATGTGTGGAAATTAAAAATTTCACAAACTAGCATGTATCAATATTCTCAAGGATTTGCTCTCAGCTCTTGCACATCTTTATTCTGACGCTTTTGTTGAAGTTGCACCCATTCCACTGGTTTGTATCTATCGTTAAATCCTTTCCATCTGCATATGAAAGAAGAGAACATATGCCGATTAGTACCTATCAAAATAGACCCTTTACATGTTTTGACATACATAATGTGAAAATATAAGTTACTAACGGCACAAAAGAATGGTTATTTGATTATGTCCAGATCTTCACTCATTTAGTTTGAGTGTCAAACTAGATTGAAACATGAATAATGTGAACCAATTCAAAAGTATGCATAAAAAAAGCCAAGGAAGCCAGCACCATAATTGTTCCTTAAATTGAACAGATTCCAATGAGTTACACATGTAAATACTTATAAATAGCTTATAGACAAATATTCAGAACTTCTCTCTTTCGATTCTTCTTCTTCCATTTATTTCACAGAAACATGAACAAATAAAGCAAAGGTTGCAGTCTTTCCTATTTCTCATTTCAATAAACAACAGACATACAGATTGCAACTCTTTGGTGACTGTTGAGACTACATAAATCACATACTGACCCACAATATATCATTTGTTAGCTAAACTAAATGAAGAATTAATACTTTCCTTTAAAAAACGATAAAAAACAACCAAATCAAAATAAAAATAACTATTTGCTTACAATTTCGGATGTACTTGCTCTGGAGGAACAAAACGGACTTGCAAAAGGTGCTCAAACAACAGATAATTAAGCATACAATCAGCTACAACCAAGGTTTTGAAAATCGGATCGGACCGGACGGTCGGACCGGTTGACCGGTATCCGGTGATTTAAATGGTTCGGTTACATTTTTTGAACCATTTAAATGGTTAAACCGTTTGAAACCACTCGAACCGGTGAACCGTTTGAAACCGTTCAAACCGTTCAACTGGACGGTTCAATGCTTGGGCATAAAATTTTGAGAAATTTGTGTCCGCCAAGATTTGAACTTGCAACTTTAGAGTTTTTAGATTGATCCTTTGCCACTAGGACAATGCAATCCTTTGGTCAATGAGTGCTTGGACTTTTATTTAACCCATACAAATCCCAAAGATTTTAACCATATTACTTATTACAAGCTTGAGATTCGAACACTTAATCTCCATGTTGTAGAACAACGGTTTTTCCACTTGAACACAATGTTCTTTTGTCATTTTAATGCTTTACAATATACTTATTCTAGCTTTAAAGCACAATTATATTAAAATTTCTTATTGGAGGGACTTAAACTCCAGATCTCTCTTATCGAAGACCAGTCATCTACCAGTGCAACCCATCTACACCGTGTGATATCTTTTGCAAAATCATATATTTTAGTATTTAATTAACCCGACGGTTTTATCGGTTAAACCGGTTGAACCGTTCAAACCGCGAACCGGAGATCAAAACGGTTTGACCTCTGGTTTGGGTTTGAAAACATTGGCTACAACTTCTGCCACCTGCAGCCATTGTAAAGTAATTTAAGAAAAAGGCAGATCAGAGTATACATGCCGCGCTCTGTCATCAAAATGTATATAGTACCTGATGATCTTCAAATTCTAAGAAGCCAAAATGCTTTGATTTTCCTGTCTGCGCAACACCAAATCATAAAAAGACAAAAGTAAAAACAAATCAGTAACAACTGCAAGGCTGAACATGCAAGCACAATATGCATAAATAATGCAACCAATTCAACAAAAGATGGGATAAAGGTTTAGCTTCAGAGGCAACCAACAAACAGGGTATTAAGCAAAATTGCATAGGCAATATAGACCAACATTGAAGTCTTACCTTTTTATTACGAGCAATTCTTAATCTCTTGATGGTGCAAAATTGCTGAAAATAAGCTGCAATAAAGCATCCACAAATCAAACAACTACATCGATATCACTTGTCTGTTTTTCCCCAAGACAAAATGCATACCTTGCATTTTATTCTCATAAAACCCATGTGGTATGCGACCAATGTACAGCACTGTAGCTTTACTCTCCAGCGGCTTCTCGAAGGGAAGCTTACGTGCCGGACCGCCTTTGAATGCCTGCAACAAGCATACCAGAAGACTTTCAGACGGCACAAGTCAAATTAACAGTGGGAATTCATAAGTAGGAATGAGTTTAATAATTGTAAGAACAAGCATACCAAGAAATCAGGAGCTGAATTTTTAGGAGCAGTAAGTGTGAGCTGAGTTTATTTGGGGCATCACATACCTACCCCCGTACAAAAATAGGAGAAAAAATAGTTTTGGATCTTTCTGTTCCAATGGCAATCACCCGATTGTACCCACCACCCATCAAGTTCAAATCTTCGCCGGTTTGCAAGTTTTGGCTGATGGGTCGCTGCAAATATGGCCCAAACTGTCGGTTTCTACACCCTGAGGATCAATCTCTGGCGACCATGATCAAGGAAGTCATCCCTCAATGGCGGCAACAGAGAAAGAACCCCCCAAAAAGGTGACGATTAAGAAGAAAATACCCCCAACAGTCGAGATTAAGGAACCCCTGAAAGAACCCTACTCGAGGCCTTCTCCAATCTGATGAATCTTCAAGGGCACCAGAACGATATCACTGGAATCGTGCTTCCGATGGGTTTCGACAAGCTCTACACTGGCAGCCACGATGGAGGCTTCATCACCGTGGGCGTGCCGAGGGAGTGCAGCGGCAGTCTTAAATTCACGTTGTTGAAATTGAAATTCGTGGATGAAAGGATGAATTTGAAATACACGTCTTTTTTATCTTTCAAATAACTATAGTGAAATATATGATATTTTTATTTAAATTTAATTACATTTTATTTATATAAAAATAAATAATAATATTAAATTTATAACTTTCTAAATTTAAATACATTTTATCAAATGCTCACAGCCATAAATAAATTTGAATAAGATTTTCTCTGTTGACAACTTTATATTTTCTTGGTAAAATCATACGTTAAGCTCCTGATCTAATCCCAAAATTGTTATTAAGCTCCCAAACTTTAATTGATGCATATAAACCCTTGAACTGTGCAATCAAAGCAATTCAACCCTTGCTCTAACAGCCAAGTTAATAGCCGTTAATTGCCGTTAACTGCCGTTCGGGACTCCTTGTGTGGCGAAACATGGTCATCTTATGCCTACTTGGCAAGTGATTTGACATTTAATTTGTCCATTTGTATGAAAAAAAAAGAAAAATTATTTAGAATAATTTTTTATTATTTTTAAATAATTTTATTTATCATTTAAATAATTAACTATTTTTAATTATAAATTTATCTAATTTTTGTCTTAAGAGCACAAATTAATACAAATTAAAAATGTATTATTATTTTTAAATAATTTTATTTATCATTTAAATAATTAAC